CGCAGTAGAACGAAGGTAACCAATATAGCTCAGAAGATTAGCAAGCTGTAGTAGCGATGGGCCGGTCATCTAGCTCTTGGAACCGATAACCGTTGGAGAAGAAAGATTCTCGAGTAGCAGCCTCCTACTAGCCATCGCAGTGTAGGACGACCCCCCACTAGATGGAGTGACGACCAGTGCAAGTGTGCGGGAAGTCTATGGATGCAGGTGGCTCAGGATCCTACTTCGTGGCAGTCTATGGGGGAGGCCTATGTTCAGCAGTGGACTCAAACAGGCTGGAATGATGATGATGATGAACATAACTTCTGCTGTTGCATGAAACGGCTCAACCAGGAAGCAATATTACAATTCTTTGGGTGTTTTAGTTTTCCCCGTCCAGTAGTAATCAGTTAACTTCAGGTGAACCATCTGCTAGCTTGCTATGCCATTCGGGTCGACATGCTATTCAATTTAAGACTACTATTAGCCATAAAGATGTGCATATTCGGAGGAGTTACTGGTCGCATACTGGGTTTAGGTAAGGAATAGGCCGCAATGAAACAACGGAGTGACCCTGAGGCGTTTATTGTACAAAATTTACATACAAACATTCATAATTCCGCATTGCGAATGGCTGGCGCCCACATGCAATCCCGACGTCGAACCAAACTACACACGTCTACGTACATATTATTTGTCAAATTGTTCAATTAGGGCATGCACACACTGCAAACGATTACGAGGTAATGCCACGTGGGTGCCCTATAATTTTTACCTGTCTATGAACCTTAGTCAGGGTTAAAAAAACGGGACGGTATTTGGGGACTGTGGATAGAAGTGAAAACTAAGTAAGTTAACACATTAATATATTTATTTATAAATAAAATAATTATTATGTTAAAATAGTTGTTAGTAATTATTTTTAAATTAAAAATAATTAATATATATAATAATAAATAAAACTAATAAAAGATGTTCGTTGACGATTTCATGATTTTTGTTCACCCAAAAAGTGCTCAACTAAAGAAGTTTTCACTTTAACAAAAACATATATTACAAAAGTACAACTATCAAGCCAATCCTGGCAATCATGACTTATTTGCAACTGCTAATGCAAATGGTAGATTGCAAATTTCCCAATTTTCAATCTACTTTTTGCAATTTTTCCCGCCCTTACCGATAGTTAGTGTAACCCGTTATCGATAGTGCAGACTACAATTTTCTGGTGTCACTGAAGCTAAAAAGAACGCGAGGGCTTAAGAAAGTCTTTTTGAGTCGAGACTATTTTCTATATGAAATTATTAAAACTTCTCGCCTGTTTAGGTGTACCTGAGGTTTTTGAGCATGTTGTTAAATCCGTCAGCTATAAATTATAATTTAAAAAAATATGATATTTAACTAAAATATAACGCCGAAAGGTGTCGAATATCTTTACAATGAGAGTAAAGTAAAAGGTTTTAAAGATAATTTTACATTTTATTAATTATTTAGTTTTAAGTATAAGTCTTGTTATAGAGAAATGAAAAAGATAGAAACTTGTTTCAGAAAGCTACGACCGAAAAAAAACGCAACTTTGAAGGTTTTCTGTCATCGATTGCAGTGTGTGTTTAACCTAAATCGGCTAAATTTTCTATTAACATTTTTTTAAATCACTTGTGTTTCACGGATAATTTCAAATTTGACCACAAAGATAAAGCTGAAATGTTTGGGTAAATTATATTAAAAATACTTAAAACTATTTTTGACAACACTTACAATTGCTTACACCATCCAGTTAATAATACAAACTAAAAAGAACTAAATAAATCTGTTCATATTTCAGAATTCGTAACTGACGAAAGTTGTGCAGGTTTAGAAAAATACTAGTGATTAAATTAATTAATCACACAGCTCTTTGAAAGGCATCTACATTTGATAAGATTTATAACTATATTAAACTGTAAAATTTATTATGATATGTAAATAAAAAAAATATATAATGAAATTCAAAGAAAATAAATGTATACGCTTTGCGACTTTTGCCTTTCCCCAAAGAGTTAATTTTATCTCTATATTTGTATGAATATGTTTAATAAATAACGTGCTGTGCGAACAATTAAAAGTGAAATAAATTACGTTGCTGCTTATTTTACGATTAATTTAAGGAACACATAAATGGAGGTTTTATTTAAAAATAAATATGCAAGCGATTTTATATAAAAATACGTTACTCTATCATTTCCCGACGAATCCAGCGTCAGACCTCTCTATGGCAGCCTATCGTTACTTTTTAAGGTTATTTTCGGTACAAATTTATATAAAACTAAAAACATCATTCCAATCGAAGTCGTGCTATAAGAGTCACAGGCTAAGACAAGATGTAACGTCATATTTCTGACTCTTTATTTTGTTTACAATAAAAATGTGTAGACACTTTTTCGAGTTCATAGATGCTGTCGCACCGTGTATCTTTAAAAAGAAAACGACCCTGTTTTTCGATTGGCAAGTCGGCTGTTTTGGCTTCAATAATACACAAACACACCAATCCACATATATAAAGTAATTATCGAAGACGTCGATGTGTTGTAAACGAGATATTATCATGCGAACTCCATTTGATTATTTCATGTTCCACAAGACTCAAATCATGCAAACGCACCAAAATACACATAATTTATTCCCACACTAATTGTTGTCTTACGCCAACTAGTATCTAATATAGTAAATTTACACAATAATCTACAACATCAAATGCTACAATGCAAGACTCCATTTATTAAATTGAATTGAATTTTGTTCTTCCAAACAAAGGTATCGCAACTGGCGATCATAAGAACCCATCAAAAAGAAAAGAACCTTTTTTGGCGGAGTAAATAATGCTAAAGCCATTTAGTTATCGATGTCATTAACGGTTTTTGACAATTGTACCAAGAAGATCGCTAAACGCTCTTTCAAGTCACGTGACGAGTATGAATCATAAAAATTGTAAAATTACTCTTGTAATTAGTTTATATGTGACAAAACAAAGTATTTTTTTTTTTCGAATCAGAAATGTTTATTAAGTATAATATATAAGTTGAGGATTTTTTTTAAATTACACTAATCATACCATAGCCAATATAACCTATACTCTTAAGCTAGGAATCTTGCATTACAGCTTAGTTCGCGGGGCCAGGGGCTTTATCATCGCATTAACCTTGCCTAGGTACCACACAAAACGGGTATCAGGTAATATAATTTTAGGCAGTCTTTGGGTAGGTCGGAAGATTTTGTAGCGATTACATTCATAATATATTTATGTGTATAATAAATAATTGTACTAATGTAGGCGACCACACCTAATGCCGTCCGACTCTAAATCGACATGTTAATTGGACAACGAGGGATCTTTTAAGAATGTATCCGCTCATTTAAGGCATATTATGGTTTGTTAAATTAAGGTCTACTTAATTATTATTGGGCTGGCAACATGTGTCTAAGGCCGCCTTTATTAGGTCCGGCGATTCTAAAATGAGATTCCTTGAGTGAATATGGTTCAAATAATTACAGTGGAAGTTGTCTTTGCCTAGATTTAGACTTCGTAGAACTGGCGAAAAGTCTTCTAAATAGGGCATTTCAGTATTGGGAGTGAATAGAATAATTACCGTTTAAATTTCCAACCTGTTCATGCAAATATTCATTGAAATAAAAACAATAAAGTTACAACTTTTGAAAAGCACACACATCAATTTAATTCGTTCACAATTGTGAAATTGTGTCGGATACATTTTCAAAAGTTCACCGCGATGGTGTTTACAATCCCTACCGACCACGTACACTACACGCTAACACCAATTCTTACGCTTAAGGTAACTAGGCCGGATAAACCGACGCGTTATACGGGTAAATATATAATTAATTATTTATTCTCTATAATTGGTGTCATAAGGGACATAAGCGAATAACTTACTTCTACGTAGGTATAATAAAAAATAAAGGAGTTCCATTGAACGCTCACGTTACTTTGGTTTCCCCCGGACTGTGCGAGAGACGATCAGGTCCTTTGAGGGCACGAGATACATTACCCTGATTACGTGAGGAGTAAAACATTCGAAAATTACGTTAAATTCGCCATTTCGGCTTCTGGGTACGACGAGTGCTAATGTACGGTGCGAGGCCATCAGAATCGACGTCAAGGTGAATGGAAACAGATGGAGCTCTATGGAGAGATTTTTGGAAATTTTCGGGTAGCGGGTATTAATTGTACAGTAATATAATACACGTGGGTCTTCGAACATTGGCTACTTTAGTAGTAGGCCGTAAATAATCACTAAGTTCATGGCTACACACATCTCTTCTATGACGAACACAGTACAACTACGGTGCATGCAATCTATCTAAAATAATCCGTCATAAGTTTTACTCCCCTTTAAGGATCTGGTAGGTTTGAACGATCTCAAAGTTACCCTTGTTATGCCAAGGTACAGAATTGTGTGGTAACACACGTGTTTTCTAATGTTCATCGAATTTGGCTTTCGTTTGGCACAAGAATTTAATATATAGTGACCAGCACTTCTGTCGAACTTCTCTCTCCTAAGCAGTGTGTTTTTTTTTAATTGTGCGCATAAGGCAGAAGAAGTCACGTAAGGTCAAACTGGTAACTAAAAAAGTTGATGTCTTTAATTATGTGTCAAAAGTTAAATGTTTAATAAATTTATTGTATTACATCGATATATAATTGTTATGGACGCTGACAAATTGATGGTTAACATGATATTAAAATAATGTTATCCGTCGATAAGGGAGACTTCACGCGAATTCTCCAGCCACATTAGAAACCTGCTTTTACTTCCACCAATGACTGTGAAGGACACTTTCTTCCTCTTATTTTAAAGTAGTCGCATTCACTCTAACCAGCCCGCCCTTTCCGACGATGATGTAAACCAGGACGGTGCAGAGACCGCGCCTAGAGAGGACCAGCTCGCGTCGACTTCTCATATCGTCTGCAGTCTCTGTCGCCAATCCGGCCGCGTCCGAAACTTTGGTTGGAAAAAATGGGTTTACATCATGAAGTCGCCGCAGTCCACGCCGAAATCCCAGTCGTCCGAAGTGGTGGCGGTGTCGTCGTACTCCGCGAGCGCCTGCTCGTAGGCGGACGCCTCGTAAGCGGTCACCCCGTCTAGCACCGAGCACGCCTGCGACACGTTCGTGTGGTGCATGATCGGCATCGCGTGCAGGGCGAAGTCGTCGCCCTCTTGCGACCACATCAGACCTGGAAATGGGGAGAATGGAACGGGCTTAACAAAGACCTGAAGATGTGGTGAATGGGACAGGTGTAAATAATAACAGGCCTAAAGCTCGACCCGCTACGTCGCGTAACCGAAAGCGATGGCAAAATACCGGCGAGTGGACAATGGGTTAGGTGCTGAGGACTCACTAGTAGGATGTTTTAAATCTAATCTGACAATTAATCTGGCAGATTAATCTACAGCCTATAGATCTCGCAGATGTGAAGATTTTTGCTTGGTGATCTTTTTTGATCTTGCTTCTTCATGATTTCGTAAATATGCTTCAGCAAAAGCTTTCTCTTATGACGATGACATACTTGAAAGACGTATAGTTCTCACGTCCTCAACTCCTGGTGATGTATAAGGCGATAGCATTTGCTATCCGCTTTTGGGAAAGAATACCAGGTCCCAATACAGTTTACCGAATACGCGATTCCGACCATCGCAACACCGTTACCCAAAGTGTGTAAGTCAGCACTTCGTTTCCACGAAAAGATTCCCTAAAACAATAGTTTAGCTTTCATTTATAGCACAGGCTTTAATTAGTAACCGCACAGCGCAATACCTGTGATCAGCGTTACCAAAACCCATCATATATCCCGGCGCGTCAACACAGCGCTACAGACTGGTCGTTCTCGCTAAAGCCAGTTACTCACGTCCATTCCACACGCCGTTGGGCAACGTCACCCAGCCCCAGCCTTGGCCCCACGCGAGTTCGTGGTCCAACTGTCCCGCCAACGCTATAAACGGAAGAAGTGGAATGCTATCAGACGCCCTGGGGCGGTCTACGCGACGTGGCCCCATCTCCCGGTGGGCCGACCAGCTGCCCGCCGGCACTACAACTGGAGGAATGTCATGTGAACCACTCACGTCCGCTCCACACGCCGTTGGGCAACGTCACCCAGCCCCAGCCTTGGCCCCACGCGAGCTCGTGCTCCAGCTGCCCCGCCAGTGGCACCTGTCTCTTGATCACCGCCACCAGACCGCGTCCGTCCAAAGCGCTCAACGCACTGCGTGTGCTTCTGGTGTACATTTCCGACGAGGTCGCTGAAATGAAGCACGCAAGGGTCAACCGATAAACAAATAGTGATAGTCCGCTTGATCATTTGGACTTAATTCCGTTGTAAATTCAAATATCTTCATTCAATATAGAAGCGTTACACTTATTAATTGTCAAAGCACTTTTACCAGATCGAAAAAAAATTAATGGGGCAATTTTTTTATACCATTATTTGACAAAGAAACATGTTTTCAATATATTTAAATCATTCCCAGAGTGTGTTATCAGTTAAAATATAGTCACTAATATTACCTATTGCCTTTAACATAAACGTTCCTTTACAATTTTTGAATTTGGCAGCTGATTAATTTTGATTAAACTTTTGTATTTGGATTAAACTGGTGAATATGATTACATGAATTACATTTTTTTTTTGCTTTTTCTGCGAAAATAGAAACTGAGAATAGAGAAGCAGTTTGATAACGAAGAATGTTTTTTCGTAAATCTCAAATAAAATTACAAGCAGCGTATTTTGTTCGTTTATAAATTAAAGAGGTCACATACAGTATAAATTGAAATGACATTAATTTATACTGTATTAGCGATACAAGAGGCTTATAAAGATCCAACGGAGCGAAGAATTGAATGTTCTTTATCGCTTACTAAGTGAATTACGTTATACCTAATTAATGTAATAATGCAAATTTTTTGCAAGTGGAAATAAAAAGAGGAAGTAAGCGTTAATGAGTCTTCATTTAATAAATTTTTAATGCTTTTGTAATTTGTATTATAATGCTGAAATATTGATTGCAATGTTTTTGTTGTAATGCAATTGGGAAAGTATATTATCTTTCATATATTAAATATATTTTCCTAATTGTTTACAGGTTTGTTTAGTAACAATCAGTTACCGTGACGATTGCTTTTATTTAGAAAAAGAATTGTGGTACGGGTCACGTAGGTACGTAAAGGGCCACGCGGGGAAATACCACGGCCTCACAGAAAAACGGCTTGAATTGGAGGTAGCTGGCTCCACCGCGTGTCCATTGTAATTTCCACGTATATGACAACTGTGACAAGTATAAACCGGGCTGGCTCGCTGAATTACTTAGATTAGATCGCGTGGGACCGTTAATTTCCGAATAACGTAGAATATCGGCTTAAGCCGGCCCTATGTAAGCCGGCGCTATATCAAGCCGTTGTTCACCGTTCACGATTTCGGCTACACGGCTTGGGCATTATGTTCCTGAGAGCCCCCGGAATAAGCCGGGAAGTTTGAGTGGACAACGCTCCGTTTTTAGGGTTCCGTACTCAAAGGGTAAAACGGGACCCTATTACTAAGACTCTACTGTCTGTCTATCCGTGTCTGTCGGTCCGTATGTCACCATGTTGTATCTCATGAACCGTGATAGTTGGACAGTTGAAATCACAGGTATTTCTGTTGCCGCTATAACAACAAATACTAAAAAGCAGAATAAAAAATATTTAAGCCGGGCTCCCATAAAACAGACATGATTAGAAATTATTGAACCCTTCGTGCGTGAGTACGACTCACACTTGGCTGTTTTTTTACAGCGCTCGACGCCTTTCGAGCGCCCGTTAATTAAAAATCGCCTTTATTGGACGAATCTGAAGCACGGTTTATTGAAAGGCTCAACTTTTAACGGCGCAAGGTCAATAGATGCTCGATTACTTGAGCTATCCAATCAAGCTAATCCATCAAGGTCATTCAATTATCTCCATACTTAATATTAGTGATGCAACGGAAGTGACTTAACGGAAACAGAAACAGAAATAATATTAGAATCTAAAGGCCCATTTACATGGTGCAAGTTCCTTGCCTGTTGTATACAATTAAATTGAAGCAATAAATGAGTTGCATGGTCTAATAACACATAAAGTGTAATAACACATAACAAGTGGGAAAGGAAACAGAAGTGTAAATACTATTAAAAACACTACTTTTTATTCCTTAATAATGTTTTTTTTATTATTTTTGTATTATTGTACAAATATAATAAAAAATGTAAAAATGTAATAAAAATATTTCTTGAAAAGCGGTTTGACTGACCATGGCGACCGCGTTTCACGACATCATAATATTTTGATGATTTTCTTTTTTATGTAAGACTATCGACTATCGCCTCGGCTTCGCACAGGTGCAATGTATTAAGTATACATATAAACCGTCCTCATGAACCACTCTATCTACTAAAAGAAACCGCATCAAGATCTGTCGCGAAGTTTTAACGATCTAACCATACATAGGGACAGACAGACAGTGGGACGACTTTGTTTTATACTACGAAGTGATGGAACGGAACCCTTTGTGCACGAGTCCGACTCGCACTTGGCCGGTTTTTTTATTCCCAGTGCAACTATTCGGGATTATAGTAGCGAATGATTACATTATTTTGATTGTTTATAGTGGACTAGATGATTTAACCACTAAGCTAAACAGCTGATTGCCACACTGACGAAAATCTCAACGTCTTTTCGCATTTTTAAGCAATGCTTGGCTCATCTATTGTTATATCTTTTAGAGCATACAAACAATTTTTAGTAACGTTTTACAACGATAATTAGAATTAGAGATGCTATGGGAAATTATGTATTATTATTTATAAATAATAAATTATAATAAGCCATTTAGCTCAGTGGTTAAAGCGTCTGGGCGCGAATTAGGAGGACGCGTGTTCGATAGATTTCCACGGCGTCGGAAAATTTTTCGTCCCTTTTTCTACAAATTTTAATGTTTCATCTTCAGTGTAGAGATTACTAGCACCAAAAAAATTAAATATCGTTATGTTGTAATCAAACATTACACAAAAACAATTGAGTTAGAGGTAGGTACTTCGTTGTCTAGAATCCTTCAAGACGCAATTACGTTAAGCTTTCGTTTCATATTTCGACTTGTTTTTCAAAAGAGTCTCTACTCAATTTGTTTGCCTAACAGGAAAAGATCCTTCAAGATTCGTAAGAAAGTACGTTCGGAAATCTGTAGTGCTTCGCTTATTAATAATTCCGATGATCAAATCAAATCATGGTGGTTCAAGGAATTTTTAACTAACCTTACATATTATTAGGTTTCCATGTAAAAGTCGATGCAGTCGGCGGCAAAGTAATTTTCGCCAAAATCATTTCGCTAAGAAGATAAGCGACGAATAATTTGTGTTTTAGCGTAAACCCTATGCAGCGTAAACACGAGAAACAAGGAGAAATAAAAATCCACAAATAGATTCAGCTATAATTTTAATGGAGTCCATTAAGTTTATCCGGCGAATTGGAATTTCCGCAGACGAAGGCGGCGTGGAACGTCCGAGCACTTTAATTTGACAGCCCTGGCAAACAAACATGGCGGTTGCAAGCTTTTACGATGTTTATTAAATAATGGCTCTTTACCTGTCGTTTGTTTTGCAGGCCGCTCTTGTTTCTCAACAAAGTGCGAAAATTAAATGCTGGTTTTTTTTTGTAACAATAATAATTACTATATTGAAAACAAATACGAATATAAAATGTATACTTCACCATTATCTTCTAAATTTGAATAAAGTACACAGATAATACATAGAAACCTTCAAACCTATAATCTAAACCAAGAGAGCTGGTGATCACTAAATAATCAACAGTTGAGCCACATGCATGTTTTCCACTTTCATTTAAACAAAAAAACCTGTAGAACCTTTATGAACAAAAAGCACTGTTAGCAATGACAACGTGATTTAAATATGCGATATTTAATATAAACGCTCAATGAATTCATTGAATTTGTGAATCAATAAATTGTTAATAGAGAGAAAAGGTTTTGCCTAGATAGCGCATTGTCCGGGGGCTCGCTTTTAGTTATTGTACTCGATCAACTTGAGTTCGATCTCCGGTGCTAGCATCGATGAAGTTGTAAATTTTAAGTGCTGTCTTATCACGTGTTCTACGGTGAAGGAAAACATCGTGAGTAAGCTTGCCTATTTTCGAAATAAATAAATATTTCTATCATACGCGAACCGCCAATCCGCAGTGAGGTCGCGGGGTGGCTGTTACTTTGTTTTTGCCGTTAACGATCTTTATACGATAGGTGTAACAAAAAGCTACACTTCTATTAGTATTAGGACCCGAAGCCACGAGAAGTGGACCACAAGTCCGCCGCTGCTCATTTCGCGTATATCAAAATGTATACAACCGTAAAAAGGGTCTGCGATCCATCTCTGCCGAATAATATAGAGCCCGGGTTAATCTCAAGTAATTTATCAGGCGTTCATTAAGGTCCAGGGTCTATATTTAACCGAGTCAAAGCTTTATTGCATCGTTACAATTAACATCTTAAATCTCAAGCAACGAAGTCTACGTTCATTTGAATTAATCTCCTACTAGAGATCCCGCTAAATAATTTTCGACGGAGTCTGAAAACATTAACATGATAAATTATTTTGAAACTGTAATTTAGATAGTAGCACTGTGCGAGTCACTGCTGCGGCGGTACCAACTATCAGTGTCTTGGTTTCTTTAATCTCAGTGCAACTTTTCGGGATATTTGTCGGGATTTTCACGCAATGAGCATATCGTGCGCTTAACTCGATTAGCAAGTTTAAGTTTTCGACAATTTATCTATTAAACTCACATTTTACGCTTACTCAAAGGTATAGATTAGCACTAAAAATTAACAATCATTTCAATAGAAAAGGCAACAATTCGTTATATTATTCATTGTGCAAATATATTATTTCAAAGAAAACCAAAACCGACTTCAAACATCTGAACTGTACATTTTCTATTTGATTTTGAGGAGGAAAATACGAATGAAATTAATTGTGGTCCCATACAAGTGAACTAAATCGAACTCGATGCAAAAATAATTTTTAAATGCGTATTATATGTATATATGTAGCGTGTTATAAATATAAATGAGAATCTTTAAATACAGTTCTGTTCCCGACAAACCCCTTCACTTTTGAAGCCGATTGAAAACGTTATTTGAAAGGGTCGGCATACTCTAAAATTGCACACTGTGTGGCACGCTAGGAAAAAGCATTTTCAGATATATTGATTGGCATGAATGAGAAGAGTTGGATGTTGCCTTTATTGACCATGCCGATTTTTTTTTATGTGAAAAGTTGCCAAACGAGCTGACGGTTCACCTGATGTTAAGTGAATACCGCCGCCCATGGACATCTGCTACACCAGAGGGTTTGACATCCTTTTTGGAAATTGGGCTCCGGCTACCTCACTCACCAGACGAAACGCGAAAGTATTTGTCATACTTCCGCTTTGCGCCGGTCTTCTGTGAGGTCGTGGTGCTTACCCGGACGAGCCTGCCCATTCGTGCAACAGCCGAGGCTACTGCGTGGCTCTACCATCGTTGCTACCGATGCTAAGTGATCTAAGATAACATGGCGCACAACTTCCAACTCCTACTAAATAAACTGTAATCGTACTAAACTAACTAACTGTAACTAACTGTACTAAATAAACATCCTGCGCTTTAGTTCTGCTAAGGTTTCGCCGTTTTCTTATGTGTGAAAAGTTTTCAAGCGTGCAGGTGGTTCGCCTAATGTTAACTTTTAAACTGCTGGACGTACCCCAATGAACCTTTTGCCTAGTTCAGAAAAGTTGGATAAGGGTAAAGCAGTCTTTAGGCAAAAATACTCGTATACATGGTACGAACTGGAATCTAGAACCAGCTAGGAGCCAAACACAAGTAGGAAAAATCTTTCACAATGTTCGACTGCGTTAGCTCTATTAAATAACTTGCTAGCACAAAAGGCAAAAGCACGACAGTAAATATATTATGTCGCCGCTTTATTTGTGTAGGAGTGTGGCTCGAGAGCATTAGGACATGACCTTTGATTATATACTTAACAATATATAATCAAAAAACAGTCATGTTTTTCTAAAGAAACGTCCTCCATACGTCTAAACGAATCAATGAAAACATTTGTTACTCCTTTTGAATGGAAAATTTGAAAACGATGCAAATGTTTTTTCACAGGGTAAAAAATGGGGGACGACAGATTATAATTACCGATATTTTTGGTAGATAACCATAACGACGAATAAATAGTAAATAAAACAATTTGCGATTTTGTTTCATTAACTGAGTGGTCGGCAAGCGTCGTAAAGAGAGGCAAGACCAATGTTTCTTAAGAACTGCTCTCAGTGGAGGGGAGCCTTTGAAATATTTCAAGTTCGGAGCGTGCCACAAATATCTTTCGCCGACTTGAGTTGCTTCAGTGAAAGTTCTCGAATGAAAAAAAAAAAGCCGATTCGAAGGAATTCGTAACGTTCTTAAAGGGAAACTGGAGTGCGCTCTTTGGAATGAATGGACGAAAGCAAAGTTTAAATTCAGAACGTCTTGTAATTAGGTCCTTTCAAACTCGAAGAATCGGTAGAAATAATTATTGCTTTTTCCCCTTACTCGTGAGATTTTATCGTTATAAAATGAAAATTGTATATAGGTATTTGCAATTTTTATAACAATCTTTATTTATAGTGTTGCCACCCACGCACTCAGACTACAATAATCGCCACCAATTTTTTGTTTGAACCAGAGATGAAACATAGGACTAGGAATCGTTATACGCTAATGCTATATATGGTTTTACCTTTTCCATGTTGCCTTTATCTTCTGTGGTCAATTGGTACTTAACTAAGGAACTAAGCACTATCTACTCAATGTGACCTTTGCCCAGCAGTGGGACATGTATAGGCTGATACTTTTTTACTTTACTATATATTTTAATTTAAACTATATTAATATGATGATTGAATTTGACATTATAATTCATTTGGAAAACTTGATAAGTATATTACGAAGTGAGCAGGCTTAAAAGTGAAAGTCAAAGGGTTGAAACAGATAATGTAAGTTCACGTGCCGCCTCACGTCATGTGTAACCTTGAGACGTGAAATTCGCCATTAGACTAATAACAGAGTCCACTTTATGTTACTGAACTACATATAAGTACTTGTCTTCAAAGTTGCTGCTGTATCACTGGCGACACTGGCTTTTGGGATGCAATTATATTTAGTGCCCATCATGTATTATTTAAATTGTTTAACGTAATGTTGTTGGTACTGGCCTGTATTTAAGAAACTTACCAAAAAAATATACCTGCCTACATAATCCTTTGGTATATTGAATTTTTCAAATAGCAACGGTTTCAGAGACTATCGTCCGTATCGTCTTTACAAAATTAGCATTCTATTGTATGATAATAGTAGAGGTGTAGGTGGCAAACGATCTGCGTTGCCACCTTTTAATAAAGTAGGCCCCGGCTACCTCAGTCACCAGACGAAACGCGGAAGCAAACGCCGGAGCCCAACTTCCAAAAGGTTGTCAACACATCTGGAACCCTCGAGTGTAGCAGATGTTCATGGGCGGCGGTATTCACTTAACATCAGGTAAACAGTCTGTTCGTTTGGCAACTTTTCCTATATAAAAAAAAGTATAGCACAGGTCGTCGTACCTACTTACCCGAACGGACCTCCCCATTCGCGCAGCACGGAAGTCTTTTGCGTGGCCCTACCGCAGTGAAACAGTTGAATTATCTTTTCAAAGCATAATACTTTCACATGTCTTAGCTGAGGCCGGGGTGTGCCTGGATGAGCCAGCCAATCGTTAATCGTTCTTTGTTTTTAAATATTTTTACATTTAATTTGGTTTAGTCTAGTTAATCCTGTAACAATGCCGTGTCACCTAATCAGGTACATGCATCAGAATTTTAGTATATATCTTATAGCTAGGCTTTGCTGCCAGAGGTCGTGGGTTCGATTCCCACAGGGAACAAGTATTTGTGTGACCCACGAATAATCGTTCCACAACAGTGGATATTTGTTCCCAAAGAGGGTTGGCGTCAGGCAAGCGGCCGGTGGTAAACAAACTAGTAAATATCATTTACTAGCGATCCGCCCCGGCTTCGCACGGGTGCAATGCTGAATGTTTGTTTTCGACATCGCATTAGAAACCTTTAAAATTATTAGTGCTTACATACTATAATATGCGTGAATTATACATATAAACCTTCCCCTCGATTCACTCTATATATTAAAGAAAACCGCATCAAAATCCGTTGCGTATTTTTAAAGATATAAGCATACATAGGGACAGACAGACAGACAGCGGGACGACTTTGTTCTATATTATGTAGTGACAACACGACTCACATGTTAGGCCGACCCACCTAGGTGGGATAAGCGCAGGAGGAAGAAGAAGGGTTATCTTCTACTTACTCAATAGAAATATTTAAACTTACGTCTAACTCGAACAGTTGGTTTCTTGAAAGCGGTACGGATGTACGGCATGGACATCACCAGCTCGATGTGCGGCGGTGGCGGGAGCTGTGGACATTTGCTCATTGCAATAATAAAATAATAATATTTATTACAGTAACGAAAATAAAATTTTATGAAAAATTAAAGTAAAAAAAAAAGATAATTCAACAATTAAGCATAAATGTCATTTCTTTCTATATAATTAGAATTCTAATATATGACCTCGTTAACAACTTAAAATTATGGGAATTTAATAAAAGCACGTCGTATTTTAATTATTTATAATATTCATAAGAATACATTTATGGTTAGGTATTTTACACAAGAAATGAAATAGGCCGCAGAGCCTCTCTCTTCCTGCCTGTTTCATTTGTATTGTATTATACAACGCATAGAACAAATTTATGTATAAAGTACTGTGGCACATTGTACCGACATTTTACTTCTGAAACGGTTAAAATTAAACCGTTGTAACAATGACCATGAAGGTGATGAAATTTAAAAGTTAAATCGTCAGAAGGACATAACCAAGTAAAACGTTCTAATACTTTTAGTTGATTTCGATTCCCTTTCGTTCGTTTTCCCACTGTTGCCTTCTGATTCTAACTTGGAAAGTCGGCTGTCGTAGCCAAAACCTGTTGGGTTTTTTTTCTACAAATAACGTAAAAGTATCTTGTGAGTGCTCGATAACCTTATTGGCACTTAATAAAAGTCATTACATTGGGTAGTGCCTTACAAATTCGGAACATGCGATAGGGTTTATTAGGGTTCGAGTCTCAAGGCCCCTTACGAGCGGACCCTCGACGAAAGAGCCATCAGGCGAACACTAATTTGCTACCGATGACGTTCAATTTGTACTTTGGGGCCTTTATAATGTTGGGATACATTTACTACATAATATCATAATATATTAAGCGACTGAGGGGCGCTAGGTAGAGTTGATTGACCTTTTGGTTACCACCTGTAATTGTTAAGATCAGAGCTAGTCACCTGGGGTAGGTTGATTGGATAACATGTTATCTAGTTTTGCTTCAGTCAATATCGTAAAGACAAACTTCGAATTAGAATACTTTGTTTAAAAAAAAAAAATAATATGATAATTGATGGTAAATCTGGCCAGACTTGGAAAATTTGCGGATGTTGGCAATATGAATTCAAGATTATTGGCGCCATTAAAGTAAATTTCGCCAAACGCCTTTGAAACTTTGACGTGTTCTATTTGTCGTTCATAACTAATAATAACATTATTGAAAGGGCTTGTTTACGGTATTAATTATGCTGTCCGTGCGAAATAGGCTGTGATTCTATTATTTTCAATATTTCAAAGCGTCTTTTTGATCAACTCTTGCCTGCGGTTGAAATCAAATATTTGAGTTACAATTAAACTTTTACATTGTCTGACATTTTATAGTAACGGCAAAAACTGTACATACAAATAATTATTCTCGCAGTAAAACTTAAGTTTTTAATTGTTAATTTTTTATTTGAAAAAAAAAAAATACATCTCCCGCACTACAAAATCATTCGTGTTACAGAAAATATGAAAATCACAGACACCTACAATCACCTGCCTATTGTCATTGAAATAGCGGAATATTTATAATATTTTTCATGGAACGGCAGTTGGTTTTTGTTTTGTCAAGTTACCTCTACCTACAACACGAAGGGAGGCGAGTTTTCAACACCATAGAATATAGTTTTGGAAGATATATTATGATGTATAAAACTAAGAACAATATTTTAGAATGTTTTCAACAGGCGTGTATTTGTACTCTTTACGATTACAATTTAAAAATACGGTAGCCAAATTTCGCGGAGCCTGAAAGTACCCTCAATTCAGTTGCTAGTGGCTGGTAATATTTTATGCAATAGTAACATTTGATACGAAAAATTATATTAGATTTACTTACCGTTTTCGAAATAGCCGCCACCCACTCCCTTTTTGTGAGCATTAAAAGACAAAACAAAACTATGTACATTACGTTCATGTTAGGTTAAAAGACACCGCGTTTGAGCAGGAATGAGTATCGGTTTCGCAATAAAAGTTGCGAAAACTTAAAAATCAAATAATGAACACGGCGTTTAGTCACTATTATGGGCACTACTTTCAGTAATGACAATAACGACCGAGAACATAATTAATATTCAAAAGTCCATTTATTACATAGCAACAAACGGTCGACAGGACATTTTTATACCACAAAATATTTATACTAAACACGAGAAATGGGCCCAGATTCAAGCTGCAACTTTCATCCATAGATCAACTGTATATCAAAGTTACTCACTTATATAATTGTTTAATAAAATATTGTTACTACTTAGAGCAGTGATTCTCAACCTTTTTTTTGTTGCGGCACATATTAAACGATTTCAAAATTAGGCGGCACACAAAGAAAAAGATAAAAATTATTTACTTACTACAACACACTGCATAAATAGTTTATGATAAAAATTTTAAATATACGAAATAAACTAATATATATAACAATAATAACTAAACGTTTATTAAGGGATTAATTACAAGCTAATAATAAAAATATTTTTAAATGCGAAATTTGAGCTTGATGTTTTTTGATAATTTCATTTATATTTGGTCGTAAAAATGACAATGCTACTCTCATATCGTTATCTACATTTAACAATCTTGATCTTTTTTTAGTTTTAATGTTGGCTAATGCCAAAAAATAGTTTTCTTTTTAAATGATATAATTTAATAATATTAACATTATTATATATTTGCAAAATTTGGCGGCACACTTTTGAAATTTGGCGGCACACAAAAGTGCCGCGGCACAGTGGTTGAGAATCACTGACTTAGAGTATTAAACATTATCAAAATTTGTTGTTATCATGATATGAATAGTGCTAGATAATGCGTTAAAGTGTTTGTGTAAAATTCAAAAAGGTATGGAGTTAAAGTCTAAATAATATGGGATTATTTCACTGTTTAAAAAAGAATGATCATCCTTTCAGGGGTAAATTAATGCTATCTTGACTCCAACCCTTGTGTTATATGTATATGAATATCGTGTTCCTCCAGTTACGTGATCTGTGCATGTTATGCATTATTAATAAGTACGTAAATTCTCCCCGCTGTCTCACCACTCTTCGCCGGAATAATTTCATTAAAGTTCAACGACTAACAAAGTGCAACTTTACACGCCTTAAGAAAGTTTGTCGTTGGCGCGTGCATTAAATTCAACGTCTACTTGCGCGTTTTGTCAAGCTGGTTAAGTGCAAATATGTTATGTATATATAACATATTTGATTGTTCAAACGTTATTTTGATCTGAACTCAGCTACACCACAGAATTAGGCTATGATGACAATAACTGGGGTAGGCACAAAATGCGAATTATGTTGTTGTTAGTATTGGATACGTTTTTATCAGACCGGCCGCCTTTACGACGTCAATCCTCCTTGAGAACAAACAACCAGATTCGGAACAATGATCTGTGGGGTATCAACATCATCATCATTTCAGTCTGTTTGAGTCTTTCTGGAGTAGTTTTTATTTTTAGTTTGTTTCGTAGTTCCCGACGTTTCGAACCCTTTTCACCGTTCATTGTCACGGGACAGTCTGTGCTTTGCATGTAACATGACTAAAAGCAAAAACATACGCGATAAATGCGTAAAAATAGTTTCTATGACTATGCCCTGATTCCCTGTGAGATAGAGGGGGCCTTCTTTACATTTACATAATGTAACAAAAGACAAGGATTATTTGCACAGAATCGATCTGAAGGGTGACGGAGTGCGAAATCCCTTGTTCGCTTGAAGGTCTTCCGTTTCGGGTTGCCCAATTATTATGATTAATGACACAGGATTGAATTTCCTCCAAGGATGTTTGGAGAGTTGTGACGGCAATTTAAGATTCCAACAGCACTGAGAGAACGGGTAGCTTTATTATAAGACTTAGTGAAGTCATAATGTAATGTAAAAGATGCAGTTCAAATACAATATTCGGAGTAGACTTTATCTGGCTGAAACGATACAGACAGACGGATCATCGAATAACTAGATCGGAAAACCGCCCCATCAGAATTTTGATTTTCAAAAACAGAACTAGATAATTTTGATCCTGACCATGTTTTTGTCGCTGTAATCACAATACAAGGAAGAGGTTGCCGGGAAATAAAATGAAAATTTCATTACACGGTTTCGATGTTTTTCTCAATCCAAAAAACCACGTAATTCGTACATGTCTAGAGTAACAGGTCACTAATAATTAGGAATATATTAACAGGCCAGCTAATAATTAGGAATTTATTAAAGCGTTATTCCCAACATTAAATATAAAGGTAACAAATACCGAATTTAAGGCCCAAAACCAGTCTCTATTGCTCAACGCAGGTGATTTTTCTCTACCATGAGAGTTAAAACATAATTCCTGTAGGTGTTATACATATAGTATACATTAAAAAAAATCATCTCTCTCAAGTTTCTGAAAAGAAAATATTAGTGTCTGCAATACATCTAGTTAATCTGTCCTGTTATTCTGCTCCAGAAACTTCCGTGCGAAAGTGGATTGGTACATCGCCAGAGGATGTAAAGAAGCCTAAGTCGTACCCCAACGGCGTGCACGCATTGTTTTCTAGTTTTCTGGTTCCCTCTATGTTTTTAAACGAATGTAATGATAAAGGGTAAAGTTACAGCCTGTATATGTCCCACTGCTGGGCAACGGCTTCCTCTGTACCTCCTGACGTGTGTCTCTTGTTACTATTTCGAAAATATGCAGTTTTCCTCAAGATGTTTTCCCTCACCGCTGAGCACGTGATAAGTCGGCACTTTAAGTTAACAATTTAAATGGTACTGGCAGGGGATCGAACCCGGAACCTGAGCTATCACGGCTCTACGTTATAATGTTATGTGATTTTATGGTTATTTTCTCGAAAGCCGGTCTAATTTTTAGTTCTTCTCTCAAAAAGTTATTCTTTCGTTTTACCTACTCCATTCTTCTACTAGTCAATGATTCAATACTAGTCACTTCATTATTGCAACTTTCAGTTTCAATTTATCTTTTAACGAACCAAAAGTATGTTGGTCTGTGTATAAGAATATTTGACGATATTTTCAGTCTTGGGGATACTGTACAAGTCATTCTAACTTCAATACTTCATATTGCTAGATACATTTCGCTTATGTATGTTATCAGATATCCTTTGATAGAGTCTGAATAACGGCGATTTTCATCATAATCTTTGGTGAGGCTTTGTGCTTTGTCACGCGTAATCAATACTCGAGTAAATTGCGTAATAAGGTTATATAGAAGTTCATATTGGTGAATTAACAGGCACCATGCAGCATTTTGTAAGTTTACTTATTTATAAACAAGCTAAAGTAATTTTTGTTTACAAAGTGATGCCAAATTAACATTTTAAAGCTGCAGTAATTATGTTTAACTTACTTTGAACGCCGTACATTGAAGTTATTTAAAAAAAATACGATAATCAGTTAAATCCAAGTTTAAATATTTAACAATGCTACCCCAACTCTTTAGTGAAAGAGCATGTAGTAGTATTGCAATGATAAATAGCAGATCTAATGAATCGAATGAAATTTAATGAATAGATTTAACTTTTCGAATAACCTTTAATTAATTTATTAATTTTCTCAGTGAAGGAGTGAGGATTATATTATTACTTAATGATTGCATTATTATTATGTTAAGCTTCTTTATTGTGAAGTAAAAATAAAAACTATTTTCTTCTAATACCTTCTTTTTAAAAGTAATCTTCATAAGAACACCTGTTATGTACTGATGGTGACAATGAAAGGTGTTTACTTAACTTATGTACCTAAACCGTGTAACAACACACCATGTTATCCCGTAGCTTTTGTGGCTGTCGTACTACCGCATCGAATAGCCAAAAACAACAAATGTTTGTTGCTATAGAAATTAAACGGCCCGTAGGGAAAACACAAATAAAAAAAACAACATTTGATTCGACGATGTCTGGAGCGAAGAGCGCCAAAACTTCCACAAATGACTATAAATAAAAATGGCGGACCGTGGAAAATTCACAAACAAAGTGATATCCCTTTATTGCAGGACGAAAGTTGACAAAAACTGCTTCATTCTATTGGAACATAACTCACAAACAAACCTAACGTTACTTTCCAGACATGGTGGAATGAGAAGTAAAGGCGTTGACACATTACTGTGAAGTATTAAATATCATGCGAGCGAATACTAAATTTTCTAGTTATTTCGTGTATTAACGCGTATGCGTTATTATACATTACAGATGAACTATTTTTAAGGATTTATTGCGTTTATTTTTTATGGTCCGTCCCGTGACCATGAACGCTGTAAAGGGTTCGAAAAGTCGTGAATTAAAATTAAAAATAAACGCGATGACTACGTAAAAATAGTTTCATTTACGTTTTCTAAATTTCACATAAACAAACACCCAGATCTGAAACGATTTGATCCACACAAATAGTTTTAGAGTGTTGGAATTGAACCCACGATCGCCGGCGCCGAAGCCAGTTAATACGAGTACCTTGGCAACTGCGCCAAAGAGTCATCTATATCATACGTGTTTTAAATAAGAAAATCACTACATAGTATAAAACAAAGTCGTCCCCTTGTCTGTTTGTCCCTATGTATGCGTAGATCTTTAAAACTATTGAACGGATCTCGATTCGGTTTTTTTTTACTAGATAGAGCGATTCAAGAGCAACCTTTATATGTATAATACATTGCACCCACGCGAAGCCGGGGCAGGTCGCTAGTATATAATAAAACGTTTATCGTTTACGTCCATACTGTAAAAGTCGTAAACATAATAATCTGTGGACAAATAGTAGCATGAAGTAAGCGAATAATTTTAATATGGCTGATTGGCCGAATGTGTTTGATAGATTACATTAATGTATCAAGTTTAAAAAAAAACGTATCTTCTGTTGAAATTTAGCCACTGGACGATACTAAATGTAGTTGCTAAGTACTAATTCTGAAATTATATTGTGTACAACAGTTAGTATTAGTAGTACTTGTCTGGACATATGCCTCAAAATAATACAATGAAACAGTCAAAAAAGTAGTAAAAAAACAGCAAAATATGCATTATTTATACAAACAGAAATTCTTAGAAGCTGGTCACTTAATTCATTGGAAAATCTACTTGGGGCACTGTTGTTTTTATTAATGAGTATTATGGTAATGAATGAAGAATAGCTTTTCAATGAATTTGTAAAATTATAATAGAAGATTGGACATTTTATTTATCAAAAACCACTTTTAAATAGCAATATTAAGTTGAATTTAACCCCTACAACTTGTATTAAATTTATATTTATGGTAACGCAAGAAATAAAAGTTAATAATTAATTATTTTAATCAACAAAAAACTCAAATCAATGAATACCTCCTTATTACATAGAAAAATAATTAGCAATGAAAAGGAAGTTGGTAATTATGATTATACAAACAAATTACTTTATAAGCTTTCTTCGTGAACTTTCTATTATTACAGTCTTCAGTAAAGTTTTATGTTATTATAATCCCAACTCTTACAAAAAGTTAGACCAATTTCAATTCAGAATCTTTTACTTGATCAAAAAATTGGGTAGAAAATAACACAAATCCGAAGATATATTTTTATTATTTAATATTATTTTTAATTATCCGTCATAGTCTGCTAATTTTTTTGTTCACTAAAATGTTAAAAGTATATAAAAGACTTAATCAATTACTAAAGTAAAGAAGTTTACGATATGGCTTCGGAGGGAAAATATCGGTTCCACGCGGTGTGAATTTTTTTAAAAGTAAATTATTTGAATTGGAAATTGAATTTGTTAATCTATAATTATGTTACATGAGATGCAGATAAATGACCCATGTTAAATAATACGATATCCAAACAATATATATATGTCATCCATGCAAGTTAAAATTTCGTCGCCGTTGCATATAACGGAATCTAATTTGTACGTTGTTTCAAACTCTAAATAATTTCATAACCAATTCGAAAAATTTGAACATTTAAGAAAAACTCGGGTATTATATATGTGTAGTTGTTTCATTACAATTCTTATGACATATATTTATGTTCCTAAGCGCTCCTCACGAGTATGTATATATTTGGATAATAACAAAGTTTTCATTAATTCTTGAATACTTCATAGAAATCCGTCATTCGAACTCTCCGTTACCTCTAACTTAAATATAACCTTTCCGCATTAGCGTTTTGGGACACCGTATATTATGGAATTCAGAATTTTCCATTTATATATCCATCCAGGTAAATGGCGCAAATATGAGTTTCTATGTCTAGATTATGTATTTGTACCATTTGCTGTTGAAACTTTGGGTCCGTGGGGTCCACGCACATCAAATTTTTTTAAAGGTTTATGTCCTAGGCTTAATGCCAAGAGAGCTGTTTATTTTCTCGCTCAAAGGTTAAGCATAACTAGCGAGGAAATGCATCTAGCGTTCTTGGCACAATGCCGGGTGGATTGGGTTTATTAGATAATAAGGAATTTTAGATAGATTAAATCTTGGAAAAATCACCAATAAACTTATTTAGCAAAGAAAAAAATCCGGGTAATCCTCAAACACCATATATACACAACCCCGTCTCACCTCATTTCGGCGTCGGACTTGGCGAGCATCCACACCACGTGGCCGGGGTCCCTTCTGGAGCCGAGCGCCATCAGCTGCGAGAGCCTGGCCCCAGGCGGAAGAGCTGGCCGCTTGGGCACCTGCCCGGTCCAGGTGGAGATCGCGAGCATTTCCGGGCTCTCCTTCACGAGGTGCTTCTGCGTGGCCAGGCATTTCCCGGAGGCGTCCTGCGGGATGTGTAAAATTTTCGCTTAGACGACGTACTTCCATTAAAATCAACAAATGATCTCCATTAAAATGTATAGTTTTGGTGTTTAGAAAATCATTTTAGAGTCTACATTGTAAATTACCGAGTATTTTTAAGCTGTGGAGACAAAAGAGCATCTTATGAAATTTATCCCAAATAAGTTTAGTAAGTGGAAATTATATTAAGTAAATCTCTACAAATACGACTGGCTTTGAAAAGCCACAATTTTGGCTATGGAAAAATAGGGCGAAGGATCTTTATACTTGAAAGTTTTTTCCAACTTACGTGAAGCTAAGTTAAAAAAAGATATTTTTGTAAGCCCAAATAAGAAATCTTATGAAGAACAATGTGCTCGGTAAAAATTAAAGCGAGAGAAACTAAACGACAAAAAACTTACTACTGCTCTATTATCTTTAAAGGAGATTATCCGAGGATTTTAGACAATAACATAGCTAACATTGCTGAACATTTTGAAAGACTTGTTACAAAAATAAGAAAAGATGGGACGTTTCTTTAAAAATAGAATTCTTGCATTCTCATTCTCAATTTTTCCTACGATATCCAGGATAATGTTTATCCTATAGAAGAACTTTATCAAGGAGGATGGAATGCCAAAACGTTAGCGGATAACTACAACACCCAGGCACTGGAAAAACATTATGTTCATCATACTATATTTTCCCAGTACTGAGGACCGAACTCACTCTCTACCTCAAGAAGTTAGGTAGGCTAATCCACAATTCTAAGTCAATTTGGTCACACGGTACGAGTAGTAATAAATAAAACTCGATCACACGCATCAAGTACTATCCGTAATAGGCTTTTATTTTGGTCGAATGTATTAAAAAAGTTATAAAAGTTCTCTTGCAATAGTCTTTATATTGTCATTCGTTGCTTGATCAACTAATAACTGATGTGAAGCTCGCTAAATGAAAACAGCGAGGGTCTTAATTACTTATAACGCAATCGAATAAGCGATGGAAGTACCCCCTCGTGTAGAGTGCCTCTAGGCTTTAAGCGGCCATCTCTTGGAATATTTAAAAGGCTGAGTACAATGGACGCTCCTTTGTCTTGCCTTATCAATGGCAGACAAAATCCAATCAAGGGGATAAAGGACTTTATCGATGAAAGCCTTTAACCTTCAACATGATACGTTAGTTCTCGAAGCGGTGATTTTTCGGTATTATTGATTCGATACCGCGTTATAATCCTTAAGTAGATAGTATATATATATTTGAAATTGTACTTTTTTAAGTACTAACTTATTGGGTTTTTGTTCTAAATGAAATGTTAAGCATTTGAAATGTGAGCTTTTCTTTGACTTTCAAGTGTAAGGAAAATCAAAAACATTTTTTTATGTGAGTAGTTGGCAAACGAGCTAGCTGTTCACGTGACGTTAATTGGTAATCGCCACCCATTAACATTTGCAATTGCAGATGGTTTGCTAACTTTTAACAAAGTGGTCCCAGGCTACCACACTCACCAAACGTACCGTGGAAGTATAACACTTTGACTTCACACTGGTTTTCTATGGGGTTGTGTTATTTACACGGACTGATCTGCCCATTCGTGCAAAACTGTTGCATGGCACAACCATAGTTATGGATTGATACCTTCATAAAACTAAATTAGTGACTACTTCAAAATTTTTAACATATACTTATCCTTGTCTGTGTTATTGTAAGTAAATGATATACAAAATATACACAGATTTTTCAACACAAGAATATTTTAAGAGGGTTCTGACTATTCGACATTCATACACAGCATCCAAAATAAATTTTTATGAAGGTACATAGCTAAAAAGACCACCGTTACGTTTATTTGTGGTAAACATTGAGATATCATCGAAAACAAATCTTATTGAGGAGATCTAGAGACTCGTTCGTATTGTCTACATTGTCATTTTAATTGGAAAACTTTTGAAGTTTTTCCCGCCGAGGACGCCAGTAAGGTCGGCATCTATTGAACTTAAGACAGCTATGACTAAACGATAATTACGGGTCGTAGCTTTGCTTTTAAGGACTTTGAAATGTTAAGAATGCACGTGACGCGAATGAATTTGGAATGATCGTCTCTTCTGCACTTTTCGGCTAAGCGTCTGTTTAATTGGCTTCATGGAGCCTTAAGGTGGACAAATTCTTCCAGTCTACAAAATGTATCCAACCGCAAATACAGATATAAGTCTTCATCAATTCTAGAGAATTAGATATCATTTCAATATATGTATTTTATTTTTGTACATTTGCTTTCCACTTTATCCGTGATCAGGCATCCTTAAGAGATCTTTTTTTAACATATCACCCTACAATATGATAACTTTATCCTACTACAGGGAATATAAATTTCTCAAGGGCATAACTTCAAACAAATATACCAAGTTAAGAAAATAATTTACGTTCTTTAAGCTCTATTGTGGTAGGGGCTAGGCAACTGCTACTTTTTTACGAATGGTCAGCCATTCGAGTGCTTGTTTGCCTACCCGCTTGCTTGTTTGCCTCCTTTTTCCATAAAAAAGCCTCATAGACCGCCGTGAAGTGGATGTATTATATATTTGACTATCGTCTGGTGAGTCAGTTGACCGGGTTCCACTTTTTTTATGAATCAGCACAAGGTGAACCGTCTGCTCGTTTGTTAACTTTTCACATAAAAAAACTATGACATTTATTTAGAGGTTAGTGCAATCTGTGCACATCGAGGATTCACTTCTCATGTATAATACTTAAAACTGCACCTTTAGAGCCGCGGGTTTAAAAGTTGTCTGATACCGACTGCGATGTCAGCATCCGAATTGAAAAATGAAAAAAAAAATGAAAAATATTTTTATTACAGCAAAATATAAAACACAGTTGTTATGACAAATAAAAATAAAACAAATCAAAGTATTTTGCTGACGACGGATTAAATCACTCAGTATAAATATGATTTCCATTAGTTTCCTAACTAGGCAAGCCTGTATCGAAGAAACCGAGATACGAAATGACATAAATATTCGTATATAATGGTCAGATTAGAATTACAAATTATACAAATTAAAAATTACTGTTACAAAATTACTAATTACTACTGTTAAGAAATATAATGGCTGGCAAGCATTGACCTGGACTGTCCTCAGATGCCGTCGTCGACCCGGGCCCGGTGTAGATAATCTTCTGGCCTGATACGTCCACGACTTCCTTTTATCCACAGGTTCGGTAGAGGAACTGACTTAGTATTGAATTTGGAGCAAGGGAAAAAAGATATGGGGTTGGCCAAAACGTATTAACGTTAGCCGATCGCGCACGTAATCTTGTTCGGAGTTAACACGTAAGTGAGAGGTCAATTGGTCAAAGGGTCGTTGCAAAAACGGACGTTGGATTCAAATTTTGAGTGCTTGCCAGTAGAAAAAAAAAGAAGGGTTAAGTGAATATTATGAAAATTTTTGACTTCCAAATTGTGCTGTTTTTAGATTCCTAAACGTAAGAAGAAAAAAAAAACAATATTTAAATATTGAGTAATATACTCTGTACGCAACAACTACTACAAATTAAAAATCAAGAAACTTATATCTAAACTACACTAAAAATAACAAAGCTTAATTATTTGCATTCAATTCAATACGTAATGTATATAATATATATTTTATAAATATATATAGATAATGTAAATATCTTTAATAATATATATAGAAGACAAAATATATAAATAATACTTATTATTTATCATTGTATATTCAAAATCAGTTCTTCAGTTCTATCATATTTTAGGGCCACTTAGTTAATAACAATTTTACTTTTTTTAATGTTTTTTTCTTTTAAGTTACAATATTTTGTTACATTGTTATATATATGAAATTTAATGAAGTTACCAAACCTCTTTGCGTTGACTAGCGGAGTAGTGAGTTTGTAAGTTCTGCGACTGGTTATTAGATTATATTCTTTGGCTAATATTGATTTATGTACTGTAAGAGATACTTTCAAAATGTAGAGCTGTCGAACACTTAATACTTTTGCGTCCACGTAAAGTTGGCTGGCCTGGTATCTATACGGTTTGTGTAGCATTGCTTTAAGTACAGAACGCTGCGCCCTGTCCGCTTGAATCATATGCGTTTTTGCAGCACTACCCCAGCATGTTATGCAATAGCTTATGAGGGACTGGCAAAGCGCATAATACACAGTCTTCAAGGTATTAACAGGTGTTAGGTTGCTCAAATTTCGCATTATGTGAACGACCTTTCGAATTCGGCCCGACAATGTTTGTATGTGCTTTTTGAACCTAAGGTTTTCGTCAATATGAACTACTCTACCTCATTTTCGTCAACAATATCATGGATTTTAATTCTGATGTCATTTTTCGGGGCAGAAATGGAGGTCTTATGAAAACATAGGTAAGTTGTTTTTTTTTTGTATTGAGGGTGAGAAGATTTTGTCTAGAATAGAATTGGGAAGCTTTCGGGCATCGGTTGATTTAACAGTGATAACTGTTGACGCTGAGCTCTGATTAAAACACAAACTAGTGATTAGTTAAACAAAAATTTTATCATGTTCTTTTGTATATTGCTCTCGTTACACTACGCGTAATATTTCTGTATCCAAATCCTGTTTTTGGTTGCTGTATGAAAAACAGAATTTTGATACACGCTTTACTTAGAAATAAATATGTTAGGAGAGAAGCACATTAGTACAGCAGTGGCGAAGAGCATATAGAACTCTTCTCTTCTATGTCGTGTGTTTAATACATGACCGTTGTCGAGATGGGCTAATGGTTTGAAACTCCTTTGACTCTGTTCTCTCAATTCAATTAATGAAACACTTTAATATCGGAAGATTACTTTATTGTACTGAGGTGTGGAGTATTAAATCTATGAGCAGATGTCCTTAAGGAAGAATACTAGGAACTACGAAAATTAGATTTTTTTTAATGTGAAAAGGTGGCAAACGAGCGGGCGACTCACCTAATGTTAAGTGATAACCGCCACCTATGGATATGCAACACCCGTAG